TAACAACAGATGGCAGTATTTTTAACAGTTACCTCCTGCTATGTAGTGGTAGTAACAACAGATGGCAGTATTTTTAACAGTTACCTCCTGCTATGTAGTGGTAGTAACAACAGATGGCAGTATTTTTAACAGTTACCTCCTGCTATATAGTGGTAGTAACAGATGGCAGTATTTTTAACAGTTACCTCCTGCTACATAGTGGTAGTAACAGAGGGCAGTATTTTTAACAGTTACCTCCTGCTACATAGTAGTAGTAACAACAGAGGGCAGTATTTTTAACAGTTACCTCCTGCTATGTAGTGGTAGTAACAACAGAGGACAGTATTTTAACTTTTACATCCTGCTATGTAGTGATAGTAACAACAGAGGACATTATTTCACAACTACCTCTTGCTACATAGCAGTAGTAACAACAGTGGACAGTATTTTAACAGTTACATTACATTTTAGCTCCCTTACCTTCTTTTATGTAATGGTAGTCGCACCAGAGGACGCCACTTTAACTTTGTTGTTTTCTACTGTGTAACAGTAGTGATATGTAGAGTAACTTAATTGAGTAAGTTTTGGGTTTAAAAATTTTTGCAGGGGTAGATTGGCAGCAAAAGATGGGCCCTGGTCTCTCTATGTCCATATTGGACCTGTATAGGAACCCTAGGTATGGAACGTAACCCTATTTGTTGCCCAGTATCCCTGGATTTCTTATATAAATCTTGCATATGTTTGTTAAATCTTGAGTTGGTCTATGCATTTCACATTTAAATTTTTGTCACGAAGATATTACATGTGATTTACTATGAATAATGCAATATTTTAGTCTTCCTTCTTATCGGTTTGAACCAAAGTCACTCTTTTGTGAAACTTTGTCTATAACAGAAGCCTACATCAAAAATCACAATAATTCCATTTTCTTGCTGTTGATTTATAGTGTTTTGGAGTTTGTTATTGACGTATACATGGTAAAGTCGGTATCTTTGACCTAGTAAGCATTACTCAGTGGATTGAACTTTCATAGGACTTCAAAACAGCAAGCAACAGCTTTGTCTCCATTATGACTTAAAGCTTTCTCATCACAAGATGAATTAGTTTTTATTGTTATTGTGTGTTGCTCACATAATGACATCTCCAAATTGTCGTAGTGTGAGGCAAAACTTGATAGTTCCTCAAAAGCTGACAGAGATATGCTGTTTCTCAGAATTACAGGGAACTGCTTCGGATCAAGAAAAGCAAGGTCAACGTATACTGATATCTTCTCTACTTCATATTCTGGTAAAATGTATCTAGAATAACATTGTATTCTTCAATCTTAAATGTTCTTATTGAATCTACATCCCCCAGATACTTCTCTAGACATACATATCTGTTATAGTGGTAACTTGTGTTGTTCTTCTGAATTACACTCTTCAATGTCTTGAAGATCACTGTTAGCCATTCCACAAAACCCTCTTTACACACCGTTACCTCACTTCCCACCTCACCTCCTTCAGCTTCTCTGTCGTAACGGATACCATCAAAGTCCCACCACACTACCTTCACCTTCTCTGTCATAGTGGACACCATCAAAGTCCCACCACACTACCTTCACCTTCTCTGTCATAGTGGACACCATCAAAGTCCCACCACACTACCTTCACCTTCTCTGTCATAACGGATACCATCAAAGTCCCACCACACTATCTTCACCTTCTCTGTCATAGTGGACACCATCAAAGTCCCACCTCACCTTCTCTGTCATAATGGATACCACCAAAGTCCTGCTGATTATACAAAAACTATACCTGTATATATGTAAGTATGATTTGAAGTAACATCTAGACACGTGCCTTTCACATATAGAGTGAAGAAATTGTTTTCCTAATCAGCACATGAGACGAATCAGGCTGTGATAAATCGGAGAAAAAATCATTTCATCAGATTTTGGCTGTTTTTATTTTTCTGCGATACTGACTGTAGTGGGGGGTATAATTGCATGAATGTTGATAATGTGTGGAGACTACATGATATTCTCAGCTTTGTTGGCATGCTACAAGTAAGAGTAGCCCTGCAAATAACTGGAGGTTTGAACAGGAAAAGACTTATGGAGCTACAACTGAAAGTTTGACACAACAGAAAAATGACTTAACTTTACTCTAGATTAC